TGAATTTCTAATGGATTTCATAAGGAAAATTACACTGAATGTAAATATTTTGTGATGAAGATTCCAGGGTTTAAAATGATATTTTCCCTTGGGGGTATGTGGGTCCCCAAACTCTACAAGTTTCATACATAGAGGCCCACAATTTTCTTTCGTCTCAGTAAAAATATTCTTTTTTCTCTCAAAATATCATCAGAATATACCTTGTTTTCAATAAAATTTTTCCTGTGGATTTTGACAAAACTTGCATAAAATTCCATGTCCTAGAGGTGGGGGATAATAAGCTATTTGTATAATATCTAGTCCCTTCCAATTTCAAAGAACTGAATTCAATATCTTGTACATATAGTACACAAAAATGTGCTTTTGCAAAAGCATCATTCTTGTAAATTCTTTGAACTTTGAATATTACAAACCATTTAATTCATGCACTTGCTCCAGATCTGGCCCTATATACTGGTAGGTAGGTTTTCTGTCCCTGATATCAGTGATGCGGATTTTCCTGATAAGGTCTAAAGTTGCTAAAATGTTAGCAATGTCATACAGTCTCCTTATCTTTGCTGAAACAGAGAAATAATCAGATCTTTATTTAAAAAATAAAATTATTACAAATTATTTTGAAATGCTGACAGCTCAAACAAGGATTTCCTTTAGTTATACTGTATAAGCAGAAATTTTAGCATGGATTCATTTATGGAACTTTAATGGGGGTGTTGAAATTGCTAAAATTAAATATTACTAATGATTTATCCCACATAAGAAGTTACCATAATATTTCTATCACTCTATGTACCATAAAATCCCTTGAAATAATTCTTTCTACAACTGAAACTAATAATTAAGACAATTATCCTGAATTTGTTTCAAAATTTCCACTTATACAGCAACAGTTTAAAACTTACTTTTGAATTTGGCATTTTCCGTCCTGTCAATATTTGGATCTCCAATGAGGATTTTAGCTGCTAAGTCCAAGTTGACCACTCTTGGCTGCAAATACATAAAATTCCACATAAAAATAATTTCAGCTTATTTGATTAATATTTCACATGACTAACAAATAAAACACAAGATTGATCTTTCAAAAAAAACAGATCTTCAAGAATATGCTGCTTACATTTGGCTGTGTATTCTTTTTAGCACTTTTGGGGGAAAGCAAGTTCCACTAATTCAAGTACAATGCTAAATGTCTTTTACATATACAAATAAACAAGAATTTTATGATACACTAAATCAAATTTCTATTAACTAGTTCATAATTCAATTTCTGCCAATCATCGCACACACTAAATCTAATACATTTACAGTAATTTCACTTTTTTCTATTAAACCTTGTACATCTTTAACTTTCTTTTGGGGAAAGGAAATTGTTGATTTTAAAAATTAAATTTTATGATTTTATCCATTTGTTTTCAAGAGTTTCATTTTTTTTCTGAGTAATACATCTTTTGATGGGTTCGAGTCTACATTTCCAGAGACTTAAAATTTCTTTATTCATGAATGATTTGAGGAAAGTTTGGTTTTAACTGGCTCTGTAGATAATTTAATGATAACAAAGGACACAAAATCGAGGGAAACAACAGTATCTGTTCATTGATCAAATATTATAAGCACTATTTGCTGTACCATCTGAGCAAAAAAACCTTCCACAAGACGAACAATAATCTATTTGTGACAAGCTTACCTTCGACACTAAGAAGAGCATAAGAAACTTCTGACTCATAATGCCCAATGATTTGTCTTTCCTAAGTAAAGCTGCAATGATATAAATTTGCTATCAGAATCAAAATTCCAGCACATAAAACACAAGATACCACACAATTATTCTTTCACATCAATTTGATACCATAGATTTTATTTGAACATACTCCAGTATTGAAAATGATAATTTGCAAAGTATAGATAATTTTCTATATCACTTTTGTAAATATATATACTCTCCTCATACCTGCATTAGGATTGTCTGGATCCATTATAAATGGAGGGGGAGCTGTATATACACTGCCATTCTGCTCGGCCAGTTCACGGTTCAATTCATAATCTTTCACTTTAAGCACTAATTCTCCAAACCCTTCTGCATCCGCTAATGCCTACATTAGAGAAATAAGTTTATTCTTCCTTTTTCACAAATAACACAATTTTTTAACCTTGAAATGTTTCTTCATTCCACATTATTTGTTGAAAAATTCAAATTAACTGTGGAACATAGCTTTTGAAAGGTGGAATGTTACATGTATGTTTTGTTATTGTCAAGTTTCTAGCAACATTTTCAAGAGTGTACTTTCACATTTTACACATTTAAAAGAACTTTATTCGGTAATAACCAATATTTGCCCCCAAAATCAAACTTTGATGGAGGTATATTTAATTAAGTTCTTAAACAGGGGAGTATATGCTGACTTCAAAGCACTGAATATTTTCATAAGTTATAACGTCATATGTACGTAATGACGTCACAAACATGACGTAAATTTCAGTTTTTAATGAATTCTACAGAAAAATGTACACATTTCGTCGATATTTTGAGTAAAAGTCACCGAGCGCATGTGTGTTCAGGATCAATATTTTGATATAATGTGTAGAATGATAATATCAATGAAATATGTAAATATTAATCCTGAACAAACATGCGCTCTATAAATTTAAAAGCTAAAATTGTTGAAATTTTGTCCATTTTGTCCTCTTTCTGAAAAAAATTCTAAAATTGGACTAGTTTGTGACGTCATAAAAACGAATATTGTGAATAAACTGCTTTGAAACTATAATATGTTCTGTTAATTTATATTTCTCATACAATTTATTGAATTCATCACATTTCATGAAGTTTTCAAAATGTAACTTTTGTGGGGGCAAGTATATGCAATATACCGCATATAGTTCTTTCCATATAAGATTTTAATAGAAAGAAATACTGAAAACAAAACAAAGTACATGTACTTTTTCTAAATGTACTAAATGGCAGGTAAAAAAATTGGTTTGTGACACATTTCTTTCAGTTTCATATTCAGAAAAAAAAACTTGATGAGATTTTACTTTTGTTTTCTTCTTCAATTTATCAAATATATACAAAATTTTTAATTGAATCCATACAACAGAAAACACACGTAATTAATGAAGAGCTCACCTTTAATTTGGCTAGAGTATTGACTAGGTTAGTTTTCCCGTGCCACGCGTACTTATTCTTGGCTATCCGGCTAACTATCTCCACACTTTCCAAAACATTGACTATGTCATATATCCTTCTCCTTTCTACCGCTACACAATAGAACAGATTAATAACCAGCAATTATTTAGTGTACATCTCTATAGCATCTTTCTTATACAGCTGTTTGAATATACACTCAAATATAATCCTATTCTTCATAAATCAGTATACATTTAATCAATTTATATACTTTGAGAAAAAGCAAGCTCTGGACATGCTGAAGTCGACTTGCATTTCTTGCAAAGTAGTAGCTTCCCACCTTAAAATATTTATCAAATTTTACCTAATTCCTTTGCAACTTCATCAAGTGAAATTTCTTGACTTTCTTCTGTTTGAGGATTCACTGGGTACTTCTGAAGAAACCTACAAAATTGACATTACATTTTAACGTCATTTTTAACAAATTAAACCATTACAATAAGTTAAACCGCAAAGAGCTAAGTTCCTACTTTTGACAGAGAAGGCCTAAAGACTTTTCCTTTCGAGACCCCGGCTTCCAGTCTCCATTTTCGTCATCCATTTGTGAGGCTGCCAGCTCTGCATCCAGATTTAGGGGCTTAAATTTCCCTCCCATTTCATCACAGTCTTTTCCTTCACTTTCCTCCAACTGTTTTTCTCGGTTCCTTAGTTCTGGACTTACAGCACTAAAAAGCATTTTAAGATTTGCAGTGGGGGTGAGAGGGGCCGAAGTTTCGGGGTTTTCCGTCGGAGTTGAAGGCCTTTCACCTATTGAGTCCACTGAAGATTCAGAGTCATTTTTCACTCTTTCCGACTTTGGAAGAGGTTCAGATTTGTCCGATTTTGCAGAGGATTTTTTCTCTTTTATTGGAGAGGTCTCCTTTCTAGATCTTGTTCTAGCTTTCATGTTTTCTTTGTCAGTCGATGCCTTGATTCTTGGAGAGTTGTGTTTACTTGCTAAAACACAAGTATTTGGGGTGTTGATTGGAGAAAATGGTATCCTGTCTACTTTGGAGTTTGATTCAATAATGGATTCGTCAATAACTGGATTTGTGTTGAGAAGATACAGTGAGGTGGAATTTATTTCTGTCATTTCTAAAGAACAAAAAACAAGATACACATGATCAGGTCATTCACATTATAAGCAAGTAGAAGAAAAAAAAAATGTTTTCAATGTGTAAAAAAGATGATCATAAAATTTACATACATGCTTAATATTCTTTACCACAATAAAATAATAAGTACCAGTTCTTTATTTTTTATATGGGCCTACTTTATAACTGCCAACTGGTAATTCTTAGCATATCTTCCATTTTTTATTCAAAATTATTTTTATTTTGTCCACATCTTCCTTCAATAGTTTTTCAAGCCAACTATCTATGACATTAAACAAAAAGACCACAATGGAAATGGTGTTTGGCCAGACAAAGAAAAATAACACCGGCGTATGTTTCAAGCACAAGTGTAAACAAACAAACAATATATTACCGCGCCAAGTCCCTGTGATTTACCGAGCTTTTTTTCATTAAAAATACAAAGATAATACACTCTTTCGGACATAGAAAAATTGTTACCTGTTTTGTGGTAATATCACAGATAAGAAACCTAAATTATTTTTCGGATTATTCCCTAATTTTCCTGTTGGCGTTCAAACGATAGACGAATACTAGCGCGTTCGAATTTGGCGCGTGATCGTATGCCATAGCGGCCCTTCTTCTGCACATCTGTTATTTATCGGTGGGAAAGTAATTATTTAACCGTTAGGTATACAAAATGCTGATCAATTGATTAATAATTAAAGTTATTAAGTTTAACTGTCCATTTCTTACGCAATATTCCCTGGGGCCATTGGTTAAAATATTGATTTATGGATCGGGTAGTCTAGGTTCCGCCAAATATCTAGGTCACGATTGAGAATGGACACGTTCCTGTTCGCGGAAAAAATTACGTTCTCTGTCATTCACATGTTTTACAGCAAAATAATCTTCCCTGAACATTTTTAAACACAATATAAGGCATATTGAGGTCTATAAATATTTGAAACAGCATCTTCTGGTCTATTTACAGACGATAGACGCTTCCTACCGAGTGACCCTCCCGTGAACGAGATAGGTCGTAACAAGTTTATCATTTTGACCTGGTACACCCACAGGGACAAGCTTTCACCCTGTTTTGTTGTAAAATATGAAAATTGAGTACTATGTTTACACCGATAGCCCTAAAAATGATTTGGCGAACTAACGGTATCGGTTTGATTGATTGAAGGAGTACACAACCCCACAAGAGCACATTCAGTACGTGTAATCCACACGATTCTTGGCCATTGCCACCTAAAAACACTCGATAAACAAAATAACGAAACAATATTCTTAAAATGATAAAATAACAGTTTACATTACCATAGTTAGTGGGTCGTTACAGTGGATATCTTGCTATATTTCACCCTCCATGACTCGTTCGCTACGTTATTTGGCGCGAGATGTTGAGGTTTTAGTTACCGCGTTACCGCCCACTTTCAGTCAACCAATCAAATTAAATTTCTATTTTAGGCTCTAACATTTTGTCCAATCAGATTCAAAAGCGATGACAGATCAAGGGTCAGCGAGCTGGTCGAAGGGTCATTTGTTTCAAACATGTCTAGTCAGTGCGTCGGTAAAATCTATGTACTTATGGTATGACATGTTCAGACGAAACTTATGTTGATTTTTTGGTTTTATTTTTAAAGAAAAAATCTTTATTCATTTTATGAGAAAATATACTCCATGAATTTGCAACTCGTTAAGATCAACAGAAAAAATATTGCGGGAAAATATATTGATTAATGTCAACCATGACCTAGATTCTGTTCTGGGACTGTAAACACACATTTTAATGACGTAGTACTCCCAGTAAAAGTTTTCCCGCAAAAAATCAGGGTGCTGCATGCATTGTGCATGCCGAGGCCGAAGGTAGCGGGAAAGCATCGTTAAGTATCCTAACTGGAACGATGGCTAATTAATTAAGCCAGGTGATTTATACAATATTTAAAATATTTCGACATCTAATATACAGGTATAAGGACTTTTGTTTAAAACTGGTTAAATCCCAATAAGGATTTATCAGACTGGCAAAGGACATTGTCTGAAATTATGTTTTTACCATGAACATATGAAATGGCAGGCTCTTTTGGTTGCTATCTAACAAAGATAATTGGTGAATGGTAAATTTTAAGGCATTTAAAGCATTTGTCAAAGTCGAGGGAGGGGGTCAACAGCATTGGTATTAATAAGTCACTTAATTTTTCCTTCTTGTTTTTATGTATGGTGCTATGTCCACTCCTTGAAGTCCTCTAAAGGTTTTGTTAATGTGATTATCCTAAGTCTTGAGGGGATAAAAAAAAAATGTGGTGGACAGGTTAACTAATATATACCTACTTTAAGAAGGTTTCTTTGCTGGTAGCTCTATTTGAATAAATTGGTCTAAGGCTTTTTTCACACCTTAAACTATTTTTTGTACATGATTAATTGCAAATCAAACTTGAAATATGTAAGAAAGCATAGTTTCCACTTTTAGGCAAAAATTACAGACATTCAAGATGCTTTAACAATGAGTCCAGCTAGGATACTTAGAGGGTTATTCTTGATAATCAATGAGGCGCTATACAATGAAATGAAGATATATGAAGATGTAAAAAAAAAAAATACTCAAGTTCTAAAGTCCATTGAAATTATACAAATTGGGAGCAGAGCAAACATTTTAAATCATTATATAGAAATAGGATTAGGTGCCATGGAGCAGTAAGTATCCCATGTTGACCTGTCACACCCATGTGTTATGCCTTAATTATCATTATTTGGGGCAAATAGAAAAATCCAAAGGCAATATAATATGAAAATAATGGCTTAATAATTTGTATAAAAAACATAGTCAAAATTTCAATTAAGATATAAATGGTATTTGCTGACAAATTAAGTCAATTTGTATCGCCATAGAATTACTTGAGAAATGTTGACTTTAAATTAAATTTGATATTGTTGTATCATCAACTTATTTGTCAGTTGCTTGCTACAACTGTACATGTTAGATTTTGTTTGTATGTAGAGCATACTTTTGTATACCATATCAATTGAGATATAAACTCCATAATATGCAGGTGATAATTGTAATAATTTCAATCCCTACACGAAAAAGGGAAGCTAGCGTCAAAGAAAATTAGAGACTTTAAATCACAAGATAAGTTGAGTTTCTTTGAATGGAAAAGTGTGTGAGAAGGAAAAATGATAAATCTAAAAAAAAAATGTGAATGGCAGAAAAAAAATTAGTATTAAAGCAAGAAAACATTATTTGTTAGAACCAATGTCTGGTGAGGGTGAATATCAAAGTAGCTGCAGAACTGTAGCTCTATGCTTGAGAAAATTCGGACAGATAAAGCAGAGAGCTACAGATCCAAGCATTGTAAAAAAATTAGTTGTACGCAGACAATGTACCATTTTTTGTCGCTACTTTAGGTATTTATTTCATATAGTCTTAGCTTTCTCTGGCTTTTAGAATGGTATCCTTTTATAATTTATATCTTTTTCATCATAATTAACTTAAAAATATTCCAAAACAAGTTGCACCGGGACAGAAATAGATAAAATATTACCTCGCTCTGTGTTTCGGTTGCGCTATGACCCCCAAATAATAAACATTTTTTTTTTTTCAATAGGTTCATCAAAGAAAGATATATGTGCAAATGTAAATATTTATAATAATGTAATATTTTTAAAAACATGGTAATTTTATCAAGATTCTTATGCAAAAGAAAATAAATAAATTTAAGGACTTGTCAATTTTTTAGGGAAAATAACAATGGAGTAAGAAGCACCTGGAAGTCACAAAAATTGATCCCCAGAGAAATGTCTCTCCCACCCTCTATAGAAAAACGGAGGGAATGGGAATATGTAGGAATGAAATAAATAGAATTGAAGTGAATATGAATACACAATGAAGTATATTTAATTTATTTTTTTCATTTTTACAATTAAAATATCTTTTCTCTATGATATATCTCTCTTAAGATGTTCCATATTTTGAATTTCAATATATAATTGACCTGGATTAACACTCATTGATTTACAAACTGATCAGCAAGATTTATTATCTGAAGTTTGTTTTCTGCAGGTGAAAATGAAAAAAAAAATGCTGCAGACAAGTTCAATGTTTTTGCTCTACATCATACGCAATTACCATTACTGAGACTGATGCAGAGATATTCCGCGCAGGCAAAGTCATGTATGTAATTAATTTTTTTTTTATTTTACGCAGGAACAATTGTCGTATAAGTGCATTCTTTTTTTTTTCTTTTATAACAGTTACTATTGATTTACTGCATGATATGGTTTATTATCCATGTCAAATAAACAAGGTGCATTATTATTTTTTTAGAAAGACCTGAGTAACTGCTTTTCCCCTTTCATTGTAGGTGGCATGGTTTAAAAAGCATTAATTGCTCTCGAGGAGGAATCAATGATGTATTATTGCTTGTAGCACGTGAGTCACCAAATGAAACTCCAATGTTTTGCCTACATGTGTTTTTATCAATACTTCTTGTGTATAATCAACATGCTGTCTTGAGTGAAATCATTGGTTATTTCACACTGTGATAAAAATGCTGGGGAAAAAAAAGGATTAAATTTTTTTCTGATTTACATAACTTCTGGAATTTAGATAAAGAAATTATTTAGCAAGCGTAGAAGAACAAAAAATTGAGTACTGCTGATGCGCTTTTTTCGCAGAAATGGACACTTGTCATGTGACCTGAGTGATCTGAAGATTGACCAATGGCTGCAACTGCTGGATTTCAAGGGAGATCACTTGTGATGGCTAGCAGTGTTTGTCAAACAATCACAGTAAGTTTATTTGCTGTAGGTATAATGTGTCTGTGATGAAATGCTAAATGCAACCAAATGAGAAAAATGAAAAAGTTGATCTTCGGAAAATGAAGAAGTAGCCAAATTTTTAGTATTAGAGTGTTTTGTTTTGAAACAAACTCATTTTGATACAAGTCTAATTTTAATTGCCTTTACAATGTTTAATAATTATTGAATCAGTTTCCAAATTTGCAGAAAACAATACTTTTGAGTCAAGAAATATTGAAAATTATTTAAAGTTTGCCTGCTTGAGGTCTACCACATTTTTGTGCAAGCGCACAACATAAAAAAAATTTGACTTGTGCTAATTTTTTTAGTTTCAAGTGAAACATGGCATTTTGTCCAATGTTGATAAACTAAACAGTTTATGTGCAGTAGTGCATAGAGAAACAGGGTATCAAATTAGAGTTTGATATTTGAATTACAACCCACGAAGGTCTGTTACGCTGTGAAAAAAATCGGGATTACTCATGGACGTGGTGCGATAAATTATTTATCACATACACCGTAAAGCGTGTCATTCAGTTTTTCTCAGTTTCCAGAATGTGTTGTATGGGAATTCATGATCTTTTCTGATAGAACCTAAGTTTCATATGAAAGTTCGTGTTAAAAGTTTGATAAAAGTTGCATCATCTTTTGACGGCATGAAGAGAGTTGGGGGTTTGTGGAACAACACCTTGACCTCGCTTGTGGGAAATTCTGCTTGTAAATATCATGCTATAGTGATTGTTTCTCATTCACAGTGATTTGAAATTTTGATGATTGATTTATCAGCAAGGATTTTTGTCAGGTGTTATGAAGGATTAGTATTACATATGTGTAAAAAAAAAAAAAAAAAAAAAAATGAAGAAAATATGATAAATCTAATTCAGAATTAACAGATTTTCTGATATTTGACAGAACATATATATATGGTCTTAATTGTTGTCAAAGTGAAAATGTTTTTGCATCAAAAACTGAATTACATGTAATTGTACATTAATTTTCTGCCAGATAAACTAAAATGTGAATGATCATTAACTCCCACCCCCTGCTACTACGTACTATCAAATATGTTTGAAACAATTAGGAGTTCAAACCCTGAACACTTGAAAACACAAAAACTAAATGAAAAAAAATTACATTACAAGTCAAAACCAAAACAAATATTTGATATTTTACAATTTGAGTACTGTTACAGAGTAGTAGTTTGTAAGGATTATAGATTTGGAAGAAAATGTTTTTATTGGTCCTGTCACTTGGGGTCAGTAATTTTCCCTTGATTACTGACAAGAGGATTTACAGAGGAATTG